ACATTCTACATGTACATTAGCATTCGAAAGTGTATGGTCAGAAAGATTATTATTATTAGTAGTAGTAGTATATATTATAGGCATGTATCTGGTGCTAGTAGTATCTAGTATATATTCGTATATAAATATATTCGTATAAATTTTTGTATATATTTGTATATATTATTATTATTACTACTACTATTACTGTAATATTACTGTTATTATTTATTTATTTATTAGATTTTTGTTTGAAAGAAATTAATACTTTTAATCAGCAAGGATAAATGGATCAAATTGAAGTAAAGACATTACAAATGTTACAAAAGTTTTCTTTTTCAAATAATTCTTTTGAACGTTCTGTTCATCAAAGAATCTGAAAAATTGCATCAGTTTCCACAAAAATATTAAGTACATTGTATAAGAAGAAATGTTTCCTGAGCACCAAATCAGTACATTACAATGCTTTTTGAAGGATCAAATTTAGTTTTGCCATCACAGGAGTAAGTTAAATATATTAACAAATCATAATACTTCTGTTTTTACTGTATTTTTTATCAAATAAATGCAGCCTTGGTGAGCATAGGACACTACTTTCTATACATATACACATATGACTCACAACACGATATTGTTAATTTGGAAATTATTACAAAAATGTCTTTCCATATTAAGATTTGCACAGGAGGATTGTAAGTCTATTTATCCACACTGTGGATAAACATTTTAATCATGATATGTATTTGGCAGACACTCCAGCTGATGAAATTAAAAGTTAAAGTGCAGACAGAAAAGAGCAAAAGAGAGAATCCAAATGAGACTGAAGATGGCTCTCATCGGGCCCCTGCTGGGATGAGATACTGAACAGACTCCTGGCAAGAACTTTCTTTTTTATTTGAATTTTAGGTGTTAGGACACCTAGTAATTGGAAGCGATTCTACCTGCTCTGTCATCGTATCGCTGGCTGATATTTGATGGTGATTAACTAATGTGGGCCTTGATGAATTAAAAATGTGCTTTTGCACCCAAGAGGATCTGTGTGCGCCAAGCAGAGCCACCCGATCTCCTCAGACGTGTGATTTCATCGTGAGTCTCACAGTGAGAAAATACTTCAGAATAGGATGTGTTTGTGTGCGAGAGAGAAGATAGTAGGAGGGAATATGAATGGTAATTACACAGGTTTTAAGTGATGCAAAGTGCTTTTCATTAATTAAATGGCCCTTAAGGACCACGTAGCAATCATCATCACAAAGATATGTCGCAGTCGATTCACATGAATGATTGAAGCACTTCTTTGAGTGGCAATCCAGCACGCCGGAAATAATGCTTCAATCATGTATTTTGCATTAATAAAACACTTTCTAAAAGCTGCATTGTATTGACAGAGGAAATATGTACTGTCATTTGTCAAAATAATGCATAAATAATATAAGGATGGAATTTTAATCATTTTGCAAGAAATCACAACAATCTACTTAAGGCATCTCACACACTTTGTTCTTTGTGAACTGTGAGTTCTGATTTTAGTTGGACCATCACTGCTAGAGGAAATAACAGTAGTGTTGCATTTCCTCCCATTTTATGCCATGTGCCAGAAGCCAAAAAATAGCTTTTTGCATCCTTCTCCAGCCTCAGTACTACTTTACTCCACAAATAGAGTATGGTGTACTTTGGTGTCCAATCGGTTTAAATCATTGATCAAATAAAAGTATATATATATATATTTAATTTAATATTTTTGTCATTTGGTTTATTTTTAAAACAATGTAATCTAATCAAACAAAAATTACAACTCTTCAAAAAATAATACAAAATAAAATTTTTATTTTAGTTTGAAGTTGGCAGTCCTTTTACTGATTATATATATATATATATATATATATATATATATATATAATCATACATCTGGGAAGCAGATCTGGAGGCACCTATAAGGCCTGCCTGCTTTACCACAATATGCCCATCTCTGTGTGGATGAGATGCAATTGTTGATTTATGATGGCGGTTATTAGGCTGAATAAGCACCCGTGCATCTATTTTTGCACACTTCTTCATCCTTAATACACACACATGCTATTAATTCTAAAGTATAGCCTATAGATGCTATGCATTTCTTCACTCGTATTTATTTATTTTGTTTGTTTGTGATAATTAGATGCCAACTATGAAATCAAATATTTATTTGATTGAGTTTCAAGCCTCTTCATTGAAGGGATGTTCTGACATAGCAGCAAATTCTGTATGTTTGTAGAGAAGAACTGTCAGCCCTCTGTCTACTCAAATGACGTCATCTCACTGACTGGTGTATCTGATTGAAATGACCCCCTCCATACACTCAATCATCCTTCTCCTCTCCTTCCTTTGGTATTTATTTATATTAATGTATATTAAGTTAACTGACTATCCATTTATATGAGGTCAAAATACCTTATATAGTTAAAGTCAGGAATAACAAGTTTACTTTAGGTAGATAATTTAATAATGGATAACACACACACACACACACACACACATCTAAATAAAACATAATTATCTCTGTGCAATATGGTTGCATTCATATCCATTCTAGATACAGTTAATTCAGTGCACAAATCATTTACGGGATATAACTCTAAGCCAAAGTTTACCCACTAACAACTGTGAATCAAGCCTTTTGATGTGTGAACGATCACCAACAGTGCTTACCTGAGGGCAGGCAAATTGCATGCCCTCCACATGGTGCACCATGATTTTTAAATGACTGCCAGCACATAATGCAGTGACTAAAAGAAGCGTTTTACTTGTTTATACAAAGTCATTCTTTCATTATTAACTCATTTTATGTGCATCATGTGCTTGCACAGTGCATGTAATTGGTTTGTTACTCAGAGGAAACATTGTGCAATAGAGGGCTAAACAGTCATGATGACCTGATCACATTACAGAAACATAAGATCATTATCTTCCTGGTTAGAAACCATTCCAATTGATTTGATGATTAATACAATAAAATTATGAGCGGAAAGAATCATTTTGGGATTTGCATTTCTCTAAAGTCAACACTGGTGAAATTATATTGTACTCACACTGCTTTGTTGCATTAAGTCTATATTAGATTATTCAGATATTATCAGTTCTAACGACAATGAATAAACAGACAATGGAGTGGTCATATTGAATCTTTCTGTGGGTGGAATATGATATTAAGCTTGAGTAAGCAGTAATGTTCACTTCCTGTGTGTGCGGATGGTTTAGCAGCGGTGGGGGAGAACAGACTCAGCAAAGAATACATGCTGCACTGTCCTATGAATAAACGAATAAACGCAAATCCTCTTGTATCTTCTTCTTCTGCTTCGATAAAGATGTTGTTTTTTTTATTCTATTAATGTGTTATCTAGGACATTCCCCCTGGTAAAACAAATCAGTAGCACTCATGATTGACCCTGATCTTTAACAACCTAAATAACCTTTAACAATTTAAATAAAATTAGCCGGGGCGGAGTGTTGTTCCCTCTCACGTGCGTCAGCACTGAACAAGAACATTCATAGAATATGAAATATACAGGCGGCTGTATAAACCATGCTGAGCATGCACCTGTGCTATTTATAAAACCTTGTCTTTTCTGGGAAGGACTAGTGCTTAGATCATGAATATAATCCATCTTGGGTTACAACTTAACTGGAACTGTTACCTTCAAACGCCCTCGGCCTCTAGTTCCTCCGTGCTCAAACATGCTATTTTGCCTGCCTTTTGTCCCTTTTTACACACACACACACACACACACACACACACACACACACACACACACACACACACACACACACAAATTTACTTTGCTATCTAAATAAGGGCATACTTTAGAGTATTGTTTTATATACAGTGGTGGCCAAAATTATTAGAACACTAGTATTTTCACCAGCAAAAAATGGTTTTAAGTCAGTTATTTATATCTTTTGCTGTAGTGTGTCAGTAGGAAATATCAGTCTACATTTCCAAACATTCATTTTGCCTTTAATTGTAATAATCCAGTGAGATTTTTGTTTGCACAAGGAGTCTGACAACAGCAGTGCTCCACACAGAGATCTGATCTCAGCATCATCCAGTCTGTCTGGAATGACATGAAGAAACAGAACAAACTGAGACAGAATACATCCAGAAGAACTGTGGCAACAGTGGCACCACTGTACAGCTAACTGGATCACATTTTTAAAACACACATCTTATTTATTTAAGGACATCCACTTTTGGTCTCATGGTTGTCACTGTATATCTCCCACTAATATGTCTAGTAAGATAATATTTCAGTGTGGATGTAGATGGATGTCCTTGCGGGGGGGGGATTATAAATAAACTTTAAATTGATATAATTTGGTTTGGATCCACCAAGTGAGTACGTCCTTAAATGACCCCAGTGGGACGTTTAAACATTTTTTTTTATTGACTTCCACTGTTTTAGAATAAAACCATTCCCAAAGTAATTAGGATTAGTACTAGATTCTCAACTTACTTTTAAAACACATGTGAAGAAAGTGGTAAATATAGTGAAATTTAACTTGGAGCGAATTTCAGATTTATCAGAAATAGTTTGACAAATGAAGCAGCAGTTCTATTCATGAATTCAATGATTATTCCTCATATTACATATTGCATGACTACCTGGACTCAAACATGTAGGTATTTTCTTAAACCAGTTGGAATAATTTATAAACAAACTCTTAAGGTCTTGGATAAAAAAAGTTTTCTATTTTAAGTTGGGAACATTTTGATTCAATTTGCTGATTTGGTACTTATTTTTAAGATCTTAAATGGTTTTGCTCCACCTGTTTTTAAGGATTACATAGATCAGATAACAGGACGGTGTACACATAATACGGTGTATTAGAGGTGATTGTTACGTGCCATTAAGAAAAACTACCTTTGGTCAATTATCCTTTGCTTTTAGAGGAACACGTGAGTGGAATAGACTCCCAGTGGAGTTGAAAGAATTAAAACAGTTACCAGGACACTGTGGTTCCTCGAAAAAGCTGAAAATATGGTTATTGACCCATCAAAATTGTGATCATTTATAGTGATTTATGGATACGGTATGGTAGTCTGTAATTTTGTGTTTCCATAGTCTTAGTTTATTTTTTCTTCTGCTTTACTATTTTCTCCTTGTTCTTAATTTGGTGTATTAATATTCTTTGTTTATATTTTTTCCCTGTCCTTAACATCAACCTGCCAAAAGGGACTGCGGATGAAAATTAACCAGTGTTGGCTAAATCTGGCACATTTTACATATTTATGTACTATTAATGTGCATTGTCCCTGATTGAATAAATAAATGAAATGAAAGTGAGGTTTTGTCTACACAAATCCACACACATAACTATACATACACTGCTTAAAGGAGACATATTATGCCCCTTTTTACAATATGTAATATAAGTCTCTGGGATCCCCAGAATGTGTCTATGAAAATTTCAGCTCAAAATACGCCACAGATAATTTATTACATCATTTTGAAAATGCCTATTTTGAGTGGAAACAGAAACTAAATCCACTGCTCTCTTGTCTCCTCTGAGGCTGGGACTCTAAATAGTGTTCTGTGCTCCTCTTTGCAGCCAAAGACAGAGAACTAATACACCATTGTCACTTACGAAAACACAATAATGGTGCCTGGGTGTAAATTTACAGATTAATATTATAATGAGATCCCTTTGCCACATCACCAAGGGAGCGAAATCAGACGCGCTCGTTTTCACAGACGCTTGCAGAAAAAGTCTTACTAAAACAAAGTTACTAGGTTAATCTTTTTCACGTTTCCTTGGTTGGTAGATGCACCGGGGACCTGATTATAGCACTTAAAACCTGGAAAAGTCAGATTTTCATGATATGTCACCTTTAATAGAATACAAACTGTAGTCTACAAATAGGTTGCTTAGGTGTTCAGTTATTGTTACCTTTCATTTTGGTCCTGTTTATTTACTTATAGTTAAACATGAACTGTTTATCTTACTACCTGGCATTACTGAAGAAGTCACACCCTTTGTAAAGGCACGGTGTGACATCATCTTCACCCCTCCCCTCCCCGTCTCGTGCTGTAATCCCAGTCAGTGGGGATTCTGATGACATTTGTTGTAAAGCTAAACATGCTGATCGTGGCAAAACTTCATCAGTAGCTTCCACGGAGGGATGAACATCACTGACTGAACCTCAGTCTGGAACCGAAAAAATTAACAAACTGTTCCAGTCTAAAGCTGCAATTTCCCTCTGACTTGAAAGCTGACCAGGCCAAAGGATCGATGAAGCATGAAAGTTGTATTCTCTTAGACAGACATAAGCACACATCTGCAAGAGCCACTATCTGCTGAAGAAACTCTACTTAACTTACACTACACTCTCAGAAAAAACTAGGGTGGTACCATTTCAAAACATAATAATATGTACACTTTGGGTACTAATATGTATTTTTAAAGTATATAAGGTACTAATATGTACCATTTAAAGGGTACCTTTGAATTTTTGTACCACTCCAGTGACAGCTTTGTACTTTTTTTTTTTATTATTTTTTTTTTTTTAGCAGTTTATCGAACCTTTAGCCAAGATATAAAAATACACATCAGGCTGTTATGACTCATATAGTATGATATAATGTAGTAAGAATATGAAGGAGAAAAAAAAATACACCTACATTTTATTTACATGCAAATAAATAAACAAAATTCTTGTGCCTTTGCTGATATTTATATCCCCAAATGCTAAGATGATAGCTTGTTTTGATAGCTTGTAAATCAATGGGAGCTCAAAAGTATGATTTATCATATTTAATATGATAATTTTAGCATGATTTGTATGTATGAATAATCTAGGTATAATGTGGTCCAGTCCAGTAGGTGTTTGTCTTGTAATATAATATAACTAACAATATAAAAGGTATTTATATGTTTACTTTATAAAAATCAATAACAATGATCAAAACATAGCTGAAAAACCTGTTGTATACAATGTTGTACAGTACACGCCTTCTGTCGTCTGATTAATATTTCAGCAAATATAATAACATTTTGACTGTTAGCTATTATCCTTTTCACAGAGCTGCTTTACAACAAAATTGAATTTATATTGTATCACTAAAACATTATTTTCCAGTTTAACACCCTAAACCTTCTTTGACACAGTCTGTATTGAATAAAGCGTTATATAAATAAAGGTGACTTGACTTGTATTTAGAATAATTGTAAACATGTCCTTTCAGGTCATGGTACTGTACATGTGTCTATAATTTTATGCTGAAATATTACTTTTATATTGTTAGTAATATTTCAGGAGCTGTTTTTCGGGCCTGTCTCTTTAAATGCAAATGAGCTGCTGCTCCCCGCCCCCTTTTCCAGAATAGAGCTGCGCCATTACAGCTCGGACCTCCTAAAAACATCTGTTTTGGTTCTAATTATCATGTTTATTGCACTGAAATCATGCTTTTTAAACCATATGAGTTTAAACTTCTGATATAAGGTTTTCTGAGAGCACACATCCGAAGCACACGGACAGAAAGCGGCTGTCACAGCATGAGAGTACTAAACTAAGTTCTCATTCACACACAAGTTTACTTTAAAAACACACGAGTTACAAAAACTGTCGGTTATGTCTGTGAAGGTAAACAGCTGGGAAATAAATTGCATGTATATTTTAGATCTGTGTGGCAGCAGCATTATACAGTAAATAAATCAATAAATCCACTGCTCTCTTGTCTCCTCTGAGGCTGGGACTCTAAATAGTGTTCTGTGCTCCTCTTTGCAGCCAAAGACAGAGAACTAATACACCATTGTCACTTACGAAAACACAATAATGGTGCCTGGGTGTAAATTTACAGATTAATATTATAATGAGATCCCTTTGCCACATCACCAAGGGAGTGAAATCAGACGCGCTCGTTTTCACAGACGCTTGCAGAAAAAGTCTTACTAAAACAAAGTTACTAGGTTAATCTTTTTCACGTTTCCTTGGTTGGTAGATGCACCGGGGACCTGATTATAGCACTTAAAACCTGGAAAAGTCAGATTTTCATGATATGTCACCTTTAATAGAATACAAACTGTAGTCTACAAATAGGTTGCTTAGGTGTTCAGTTATTGTTACCTTTCATTTTGGTCCTGTTTATTTACTTATAGTTAAACATGAACTGTTTATCTTACTACCTGGCATTACTGAAGAAGTCACACCCTTTGTAAAGGCACGGTGTGACATCATCTTCACCCCTCCCCTCCCCGTCTCGTGCTGTAATCCCAGACAGTGGGGATTCTGATGACATTTGTTGTAAAGCTAAACATGCTGATCGTGGCAAAACTTCATCAGTAGCTTCCACGGAGGGATGAACATCACTGACTGAACCTCAGTCTGGAACCGAAAAAATGAACAAACTGTTCCAGTCTAAAGCTGCAATTTCCATCTAACTTGAAAGCTGACCAGGCCAAAGGATCGATGAAGCATGAAAGTTTTATTCTCTTAGACAGACATAAGCACACATCTGCAAGAGCCACTATCTGCTGAAGAAACTCTACTTAACTTACACTACACTCTCAGAAAAAACTAGGGTGGTACCATTTCAAAACATAATAATATGTACACTTTGGGTACTAATATGTATTTTTAAAGTATATAAGGTACTAATATGTACCATTTAAAGGGTACCTTTGAATTTTTGTACCACTCCAGTGACAGCTTTGTACTTTTTTTTTTTATTATTTTTTTTTTTTTAGCAGTTTATCGAACCTTTAGCCAAGATATAAAAATACACATCAGGCTGTTATGACTCATATAGTATGATATAATGTAGTAAGAATATGAAGGAGAAAAAAAAATACACCTACATTTTATTTACATGCAAATAAATAAACAAAATTCTTGTGCCTTTGCTGATATTTATAACCCCAAATGCTAAGATGATAGCTTGTTTTGATAGCTTGTAAATCAATGGGAGCTCAAAAGTATGATTTATCATATTTAATATGATAATTTTAGCATGATTTGTATGTATGAATAATCTAGGTATAATGTGGTCCAGTCCAGTAGGTGTTTGTCTTGTAATATAATATAACTAACAATATAAAAGGTATTTATATGTTTACTTTATAAAAATCAATAACAATGATCAAAACATAGCTGAAAAACCTGTTGTATACAATGTTGTACAGTACACGCCTTCTGTCGTCTGATTAATATTTCAGCAAATATAATAACATTTTGACTGTTAGCTATTATCCTTTTCACAGAGCTGCTTTACAACAAAATTGAATTTATATTGTATCACTAAAACATTATTTTCCAGTTTAACACCCTAAACCTTCTTTGACAGTCTGTATTGAATAAAGCGTTATATAAATAAAGGTGACTTGACTTGTATTTAGAATAATTGTAAACATGTCCTTTCAGGTCATGGTACTGTACATGTGTCTATAATTTTATGCTGAAATATTACTTTTATATTGTTAGTAATATTTCAGGACGAACACTTACTGTACTGAAGCATGTTATGGCTGAATGATCATTCATACATTTGAAAAATCACTTAAAATTCGAAGTTTTAAATATATAAGGCTTTCCGGGAGTGTTTATTTGTACATCTCTCAATTATCATTGTATTGCACTGCCTTATGTTTTGCAAATAAAAACTACAGAGCTTTGATACGGAGTGTATATATCAATCCCACAACCAAGAATGCTGTTCTCCCTACATTTCTACATTTTAGACACTACTGACATTATTATTTGCATTATTATTGGGCTATTTCACAGTTATTTTCTCTAGATTTTTGAGGAGGCGCTGTCTGCATTTCCTCCTCAGAGAAAACCACTGGCAACAAAATTGAAAAAGCATGCACACATCATCATGGGAGCATGACTCATCTCTTCCAGTGCACTGAAGGCAGAAATAATATATTCACACATGCCACGCATTCTGATGTTAGTCTTTATAGCTTGCATGTAGCCAGAGCACTGTGCTCGTTTTTATGTTTTTGCCATGTAACACCATAGGCTATCTGCATGGACTCATTCTAAAGAGTGCAGAGCCCTACAATGAGACAGTTTGCTCTCTCTCTGCTTCATCGGTTCAATAACACGCTGCTGCAAAGTCAGAGCAATGTCAGAGGAACCCTAAAATAGCTGTTCTGCTCATCACAGAGACATTAAGGCTGTTTATTAATAACAACAGCAGCAGCAGCAGCACACTCAGGCAAATGAGTAATGTCAATACAGCTTGACATTCACATTAGCATGACGGAGGCCATTGCTGTTCATTTACTCAGAGGCTGTGATGCTGCACAGGAGCGTTCATGACATGTGTGTGTAATGAGATGTCGTGATGGGGTAGAGGAGAAGACAGCAGAGGCTTTTGTCCTCCTTGTGGTCCGGAAGTGAACTGTGGAATAATGGACAGCTGTGTGAACAAGATGGGTTTATTTTCAGGCAGCGCTGAGCAATGTTTTAGATCTCCTCAGAAAGACTTTGCTTTATGTTCCAAATGCTAATTAATAATCAGTGTGCATTTCAAAAATGTCATTCATTTGAGCCAGGCTTCTTTGTGGATATGAGCATGGCAAAGAGAAAAAATGGATCTTAAAATTGGAACTGCAAAAGTAGATCGTGATGTACCTATGAAAATGCAGGACAATACTTGCACTGTATGCATATAATAGTGATGAGTGCAATAGTGTGGCCTGTCGACCAGCAGGGGGCCTCCATGCTATATTTGTGTTTGTGCTGTGAAAATCTTTTCATTTAGACATGGAAATAAACAGAAAGCTTTTATGTCAGCTCGATGTCCTATATATAGTGCATATGCTACATTATGGTTCAAATGTTTGGGGCCAGTGAGATTTTTAAAATACTTAAATATTCAGGAAGGAAACAATGCCTATTTCAAATTAATGCTATTCTTATAAATCTTATGAATTCATCAAAGAATATTTAAAATGTATATTAGGGTTCTTACACAAATAGTAAGCAGCAAAACTGTTTTTAACATTAATAATAATAACAAATGAGCACCAAATCAGCATATTAGAATGATTTCTGAAGGATCATGTGACACTGAAGACTGGATTAATTGCTGCTGAAAATTCAGCTTTGCCATCACAGGAATAAATTACATTTTAATATATATATATATATA